TTTTGTCCATGTTTGCTTTGGATGCAGTAAAACATTTCAATAGGATCTTGGTATCAATTATTCATTCGTCGTGTGTTTCTCAACTATCGAATCGATTGTAAATGTTTGCCTTGAATTGAGAAAAATATTTTAATAGAATCTTGATATCAATTATTCATTCATCGTGTGTTTCACAATGATAGAATCAACTCCTAAGGTTTAGTCTGAATTGAGCAACACATTTCAATAGAATTTTGGTACCAATTATTCATTTGTCGTGTTTTTCTCAATCATAGAATCAACTCCTAAGGTTTGATTTCAATTGAGCAAAATATTTCAATATACTTTTCGTATCAATTATTCATTTGTCGTATGCGCTTCAACTATCGAATCAATTGTAACTCTTTGCTTTGAATTGAGTAAAATAGTAGGATGTATGGCTTGTTTGAAATTGTCACTTGTAGCGTGTCTCTCAACTATGCGATCACGTAGAAAAGGGTTCCTATGAATTCAGCAAAATATTTCAATAGAATCTTCTTGTCAATTATTCATTTTTCGTGTGTTCTTCAACTATACAATCAAGTGGAAAAGCGTTGCTATGAATTCAGCAAAATATTTTAATAGAATCTTCTTATCATTTATTCATTCGTCGTGTGTTTCTTAACCATCGAATCAATTGTAAATGTTTGCTTTGAATGCAGTAAAACATTTCAATAGAATCTTGGTATCAACTATTCATTCGTCGTATGTTCTTTAACCGTCGAATCAATTGTAAATGTTTGCTTTGAATGCAGTAAAACATTTCCATAGAATCTTGATATCGATTATTCATTCGTCGTGTGTTCTTTAACCACCGAATCAATTGTAAATGTTTCCTTTGAACTGAGCAAAATATTTCAGTAGAATCTTGGCATCAATTATTCATTCATCGTAGGTATCTCAACCATTGAATTAATTGTAAATGTTTCGTTTGAATTGAAAACAATATTTCAATAGAATCTTTATATCAATTATTCATTCGTCGTGGGTACCTCAACCATGAAATCAATTGTAAATGTTTACTTTGAATGCAGTAAAACATTTCAATCGGATCTTGGGATCAACTATTCATTCGTCGTATGTTCTTTAACCATCGAATTAATTGTAAATGTTTCCTTTTAATGCAGTAAAACATTTTTATAAGATCTCGGAATCAATTATTCATTCGTCGTACGTATCTCAACTATAGAATCAATTGTAAATGCGTGCTTTGAATTGAAAAAAATATTTCCATATATTGTGGATATCAATTATTCATTCGCCGTATGTTCCTCTACTATAGAATCAATTGTAAATGTTTCCTTTGAATGCAGTAAAATATTTCAATAGAATCTTGTTATCAATTATTCATTCGTTGTGGGTACCTCAACCATGATATAAAATGCAAATGTTTGTTTTGAATTGAGCAAAATCGTGGGATGTAGGACTTGTTCAGATTAGTCGTTTGTAGTGTGTCCCTCGACTATTAAATCAAATCTAAATGAGCTGGTGTAAGTCGAGAAAAATATTTCAATATACTCTTTATATCAATTATTCATTCGTCATGTGTTCCTGAACTATGGAATCAACCGGTGATGTTTCCTTTAAATTGAGAAAAATATTTCAATAGAATGTTGCTATCATTTATTCATTCGTCGTATGTTTCTCAACCATGGAATCAACTCTTAATGTTTCCTTTGAATTAAGCAATATATTTCAATAGAATATTGGTATCAGTTGTTCATTTGTCGTGTGGTGGTTAGCCATAGTAGCAGTTGCAAGTGCGTGTTTTAAGTTGAGCAGAATGTTTCAATAGGATATTCGTATTGTATATTCATTCGTTGTGTTCTCCTAGGTGATGGAATCAACTGCAAATGTTTGCTCTGAATTGTGAAAAATACTTGGATTAAATATTACTATGGATGATTCATTTATTATTTATTTCTGAGCGATGGAATCAACTGTAAATGTTTGCTTTAAACTCAGCAAAATATTTCGACATACTCTTGATGTAAATTATCAAATCGTTGTGTGTTCCTCGACTATGGAACCAACTGTAAGTGTTTGTTTTGAATTGACGAAAATATAGGAATACCTAGCTTGTTAGAGTTATTGTTTTGTGGTGAATTACTCAAGTGTGGAACCACTTGAAAATGTTTATGCTAAATTGAGAATAATAGGTGTATAGAATGGTCATGATAGGTATTCATTTATGATGTGTTGTTCAATACTGTAATAGGGGTTAATGTTTGCTTTGAATAGAGAAAAACAAAGGATTTCAATGATTGTTTGAACTAGTAATATGTTGTATCGTTTTTGAATACGGAGTTAACTGTAATTGTCTGCTTTGAGTTGAGGATGGTATGTGAATATGATCTTAATGAGAATAATTCCTCCAACTGGTGGTCTTTGACGAGCACTGAAAGTATATCCATCACGTTCTGGAAATGAGATGAATATTTGAATCGAGTGTTGTTTTTGGATAAGCCAGGTATGTGCTACTTAAAGACTGATGCTGATATTTTATTTCATCAGTCATACATTGTTATTTGATATTATTATTTCGAATTATTTTCATACCAAATATATACACTGTTTTGTTTTTGAAGGGCATATGATGGTACGACTACAATTTCACATCAAAAGCCAGATGATGCCATCAATCATCATCAACGTAAAAAAACATTATAAACTAGCTACCTTTTTTTTCTTATCTTCTTTTCTTTTTTGCTTTCTTACCATTCACTCTTGCCTTTGTTTTATTTTTATTTTTTCTGAGTTTTTTGTAATTCTTTATTTTAATAAAACTAAACGATGAAAATATACTGTTCTTTGCTTTTTGAAAACAAAACCAGCTATTTACAATAAGCATGGGCAGCGTGTTATTATGTGTCTAAGCTCAAGAATGCATATTGAACTTATTATAAGTTTCATTAAATGTGAGAGTGTAACGTTCCACAAAATAACTGATAGATACCACCAATTAAAGTCTTGATTCAAATTTATATTAAGTTTTCTACTCAAAAGAACACACAATTTTCATAAAATTGACTCATTCAAACTGTTTTTTTACTAATTATGAAAAGTCAACATTTCGTTTTGAGAGTTTATCGTGCAGTGTTCATCTAGAAATTCAATAAACAATAACAAAAATAATCATTCTCTCTTTCACTCAGTATAATGTATCATTATTCCATTATAGTCTCTTTCAATCGTTCTGAATAGCACATGTCTTCATTTTCGAAGGACGTCCACCGTTGTAAGCTACTGATGCAAGTAATCAAGCATGGGTTGATGTTTACATTACTTACTCTAGGTTACACGTGTTCAAACGTAACAGAAGAAAGAAAGAAAAAAAGAAAGAAGCCTCAGAATTTTTTTGTATAAGATAAAAAGGGATTCGACCAATTCGAAAATATTTTGAATTAAAAGTTGAAGCAGAAGACAACAATTATATTATAAATAGGTAAAGAAAAACAAGAGTTTTGCTTGTGAATGAAATTTTGATTTTGTTTAGATTTGAAAGTACAACAGGTGAAGATAAGAAAAAATAAAACGTGAAAGCAATTCTCTCTAATGCAAAATGTTTAACCGATATGCATGAATAATTTTCACGTTCGCTTGTGTATCAATAGTTTGATACAGTTATAACTTTATTGGATTGTTATACATGTGCATTATTTCAATACAAGTTTAAAAGCTCAATAAAATTCGATAATTATTATTTTTAAAATTGTTAAGTTAATCATAAATAACTGAATAAACTATATTGATAGTAACTTTTAGATTATTTATCAATATAATTGAAATTTATTTTTTTATTTCATCGACTATATAACCGAAACAATGTTGTCTGAAAGATATTTCTCATTTATTAGAATCGAGATTTAAATAACAACAGTTTTATTTAAAGGGTTTTTTTAATAGAAGTTTGATATTTAGAGAGGAACAATCGCTTATGAAATATAGTTTCATTTTTGAAAAAAATGTATTCTTTTTCATGTTTCAGAAAATGATAATACACGGAGAAGATTATGATAAAGTAAATATTATTTTTAATTATTGATAACCAATGTAGTTTACAAACTCTATTTAATTATATTATTTCTTTATGTGTTCAAGTAAATGAATTCTTTTAAATGAAATATTTTAGATTTTTGTTTTGTTTTTTTAATTTAGTCAAATGAAGTTTCACTATATTCTGGTATATCAATAATTAGTACATATTTATAAATTTATTTAAATATCCAATAATTTCTTGGCTTGGTACAATATTTCATTTTATTATAAACAATATTGACGAAATAAAAACTATTGATCAATGTCGTATATTACATACACTTACAGTAGATTGTTTTCCATTAAAATGTATAGAACTTCATAAAAGGTACACAAGAATATCATGATTATCAAGATGATATATATGAAAATGAAATTCTTTTGTTAACTAATCGTTATGTTATTGGATTAAATTTACTTGATTATTTTTATTCAATATTTTTTGGAAAAACTCTATCGTTTAGTTTTGAACACCGTTTAAATGCATTAGAAAAATTTATATTAAAAATTTTAACATCAGTTATAAACGGTACGTTAATAGAATTTTATAATAAATATCTGTATCATTTTTTGTTATCGATCAACTCAATATTGAACTTGATTTGACATCAATTTTAAATAAAAAAATTTCTACATATCGTTTTATTGATTATATGTATACAATATTAAATAAAGATGATGTTGTTGGTTTAAATTTTTCAACTACAAAAATAATTTATAAAACAGTTAAAAAGGAAGAAAAATCAAGAAAAATTTAAATATTAAAATTGATTCGACGATACATGGAAAAGGATTAACTAAATATGTTATAGCATGTGCTCGTGCATTATTTTCTGACGAAAAAATAATTAAATCAGTGGAAGTGATTTTAAAAAATATAACAATAATAGAAAATTATAAAGCTTTTTTGTTGTTGCAAATATATCAAAGGTATAGTAAGAATATTTTAAAATTTTAACGAAACTTAAACATTATCAGTCACTGTAAGAAGAACTAAGAAATATATGAAAGAACAGTTCTACAGATATTCTAACATATCGTTTTTTATACTAGAAAAATATTTGTTTTTAAATTTTTATTTTTAATTATTCAAATGTCATCAAAAATTAGATATGATTGAATGATTTAATAATACTCATTCCCTTTAAAAGAACATATTGAAGAATGTTATACAGCTACTGAAAATAATATTATTTCTCAAGGTCAACGTCCAAGAAAACACTATCAACATCAATCAAAGTATGTTTTTGAAAAATTATCTATTTTCTTATTGATAGATTAGTTATTGTTATTGATTTTGACTCAACATTTAATGTAACAACGATTGTAAGTTGAAATTAAAACATTATTTTCATAATTATATTTTCGTATTCTTTAGTATTTACCTGTTCCCGAACTTATATTTATTTGTTTAGCACAGCTGGTCTTTTTTGTACAACAATGATACACACAATGAATGGATGGATGGTAAATATTTCTTTTTTTTATAACATTTTCTATCATTTTTCATTAAAATGTATTCATAGAAACATGCATTTAAAACAAGCAAACAAAGTGATATGTTTAATAAATATAAAAATATAAATTATATGTTCTAATTTCCTTATAGAATCCAATACAATATGTTCCAATGATACATATATGCTACAGATTGAATTCGAAATACACCATTAAAGCTTAATAGAATTAATCCAACATGTATTACTAGGTATACACGAAGAAGAAAAAACAGGCATATATCATATACATATATTGTTATTTATTGTAGTTCTGATCTTAAATTAAATGATTGTTGTCGTCGTTCAAGTTTAAGATAAGCACTTGATCAATTAGGGGGTTGGTTTAGAAATATTTATCTTATTTTACTTCTTAGTATTGAAAATCTTTATTTTCTCTCAATGTGCAGATAGTTTAATTGGAAATTTATTCGCTCAGTAATACGATTCACTTTTACTTTTTTTGTTTGTTTATGATTCTATACTTGTTATCTAATAAATGAAAGGATAATAGTTTCAAAGCAAAATATTTCTTTTATACATGGAATTATTATAAAGACTTTCATGTAACAAAAATAAATTAAATTTTTCATAATTATCACCTTAGCTAAGAATGTATGACCATTAAAGATCACTCTTTTTAAACAGTTTAACGATCTAAAAAACATCTACATCTTCACACTGGATAAAATAAAAGAAACATTCGTTTTTTTATTTATATATGTATTATCTTTATTGAAATAAATTTCATTTAGAAATCGAAAGATATTAGATTGTATTCATAAATAGATGAATGTAGAACTGTGGTTTATTCCCGTGAAAATCGATTCAGTTTTTTATCACTTGATATCAAGAACACTTAAATACTTCGGAATGGCATCATAGTAAAAACGAAACCAATATAAATTTAAAGTAGTTCAGGGTTTATATATAGGCCGGGTGTGAAGATTATGTCAAAACTCTGATACCAACATCCTCAAATACGTTTTTATTATTTACAGAGTTGTTCTCTCTACGTGTGTGCGAGTCACTACAAAATAGAATTAATGCAAAAGATCAGTAAACAAAACTTTCTTTTATTCATCAATTATTCCTTATAATTTCTTTTTTTACAATTTTAATATTGTTTATCACAGTATTTATATGAGGATGAGTTGGAGGTAATGAACGTTGCCATATGTCCAATGCACGTTCATAATATGAAAGTGCTTTCGAATAGTCTTTCATGTTTCTATAAATCGATCCAATGTTGTTGTATGATTGTGCCAAATTGGGATGATTTGAAGGAAGAATTTTTTCTCGAATTTCAAGTGCTTTTTCGTAATACGAAAGTGCCTTCGAGTATTCTCCCATGTTCTTATACACCAAACCGATGTTATTATATAAAGTAGCTAAATCAGGATGATTTGAAGGAAGAGTTTTGTGAAAGATATCAAGTGCTTTTTCATAATATAAAATTGCTTTCGTGTACTCTCGCATATCGTCATAAACACCACCAATGTTGTTGTATGAAGTAGCTAAATCAGGATGATTGGGTGGAAGACTTTTTTCTCGAATTTCAAGTACTTTTTCGTAATATGAAAATGCTTTCGAGTACTCTCCCATTTTGTTATACACCAAACCAATATTATTGTATGAAGTAGCTAATAAAAGATGATTTGAAGGAAGAATTTTTTGTTGAATTTCAAGTGTTTTTTCGTACGATAGAAGTGCTTTTGAGTATTCTCCCATATTTATGTATACTAAACCGATGTTGCCGTATGAGATAGCTAAATCAAGATGATTAGAGGGACGAATTTCTTGTTGAATTTCAAGTCCTTGTTCGTAATACCAAATAGCTTTTTTGTAATCACCTTGATGCAGATGGACCAATCCTAGCTGATTATAATAATGCTGCTTATCGTCCTCATCAGATGTTTGTTCGAGTAATACCTTATAAAGTTCTTCAGCCTTACTAAATTGACCGATGTTAAGCAATAGTTTACCCAATCTTTGCCATCCAGTACTACCACCAGCTTCTTTTCGTATCCGATTGGTAAGTAATCGTAATTGTTCATCATCATCCGACGTTAATTGCAATTCAACTTGATAAAGTTGATTTCTATTGTCCATTTGTTTAATTGTACTCACCCGAAAGACAGTGTGCATTGAGAAGAGAATTTCTTCCTCTCCGTAAAAATAACTCATCTCTTTGATGGAGGCAAATGGTGTTGATTTAATACAAGGATCAATAGACATTATAAAGAGAATGCCCACCATATCTAGCTTTTTTGAAGCTTTTTGAGCAAAATCGAGGGACAAATCTTTATATTTGCTGGTGGACAAGAAATTGTTAAATGATATTAGTCCACCTTGTGTTTTCTGAAGTTTTTCAAAGTCTACTTTCGTAAAACCTTGTCCTCGATAAACTATAAAAGGTTTTCTACCATAAGTATTGATCTGTTTTTCATATAGCTGTAAAATTTGTTGATGCAGATCACGTAGAAAGAAGCCCATGTTAATGATTGTATCGACGTCTAATGTTCGAAGTGCTCGATTGAGCATTTGATGCGTAAAACACTCACGTGTATACCACCATATGGCTTGTTGTGGACGATAATCTAGTTCAAATTCATTAATCACTTGTAATTCACTGTTATTTTCCAAGTAAAATTTGCGACAATAAATGGCTAAGGCCTGAATTGTCTTGCGATCATATTCGATATCGAAGAGAATCTCTTTGAATATCTGAGTATACATAAAAGTTGGCTCCAACTGATTTAAATTCTTAGTTGAAGCCATTTCATTTACTGTGAGAAAACTTACGGCTATCAAATCTTGATTGCATTGTTTGATATCCAATTGCAATGCTTGATAGATCTCTTCGATATTTGTATGGACACCTTTAATTTTTGTCCAGTTTTGTGTCCATTCTTGATGTATTGATTTATTGTTACAGAAGATATAAATTGTATCTAGTTGTGCCATGGCATGGATTTCTGGAACCAGATGTTGACCTAAAGAGCCTGACATAATAACGAAGGCTCGTTCATTATTAATCTGGTTCAGCAACTGGATGCATTGATCCGGTTGAGTACACAGATTGATGTCGTTGATTAAGTTCTTCAGTTGGGTCACGGTGTTTTGGCAGTCCGTATTTGTTAAATCGATGTTGGCATCTACCCACACGAGAAGGTAATTTTGTGCCATACGCTGTCGTGGTTGACGAATATTGGATGAAGGTGTTGATTTTGATCCGTTCATGTTGATGTTGTTTAAATGGAAAGAAAGATCACCTTTCTTCTTTCTATAGGTAATGATTTGTTTTTTCTCTATTTCTTGACGACTTCGAATATCTGTGGGTTTTTTTGTTGTTACTCAAGGACAAACTCTACCTAGTTACTTTTGAAAATAATATTGTGCAGAGAAAGAAAGAGATGAAAGCAAACACATTTGTTGGTAACTCTATCGAAAGAACGATAAAAAACAGAAGCCACCCTTCGAATGCATTTTAGTATTATTCTTTCTTACCGTTTCTTATCTCTGTCTACGGCACTACTGCAGTTTGCCAACATGTGTGCAACCCCTTTTTATCATCAAATAAGTACAGAAAGAAAAAACAACATTTCAGCGATTTAAGTTTTCTCTTACATTCTTTGTCAAACATCATATGAATGTTTCATGAATGTATAAAAAGTTTGTACATCGAGCATGCTTTATATATTATGCCAAAAAAGCCAACAAAATATTGTACGCTCGATATTGATGAAAGGAAGATCGAAGAAACGTTTTTATCTTATCTAATTTATTGTAGATAATTAACTCCATTATGACAATGAAATATCGTAAGAATTTTATTGAAAATGTAATATATTTTTATCTAAGCTTCTTCGAACTCGAGTTTCACAGTTTGAGCATAGAATACTGTTATTAAACAGAAACGGAATTATTTCGTAAAAAGAGATAATCAAAACTACGTACTTTACCAGATGGTTATTATTTAAAATGACTTTACGTATGTAAGGCATCTATTTTAATGAAAACTATTGTTTTTTTTATATCCAAACGATTGATTAAGGTCAGTGTGTTATTATTCGAACTGATGATAAAGTAATTAAACTTGTGAGTAAATTGCTTATAACTTCAGTTTTCAACATCGCACAGACGATTAAATAATGTCTTGTAGAAAGTATTCAACAAGTCTTTTCCTTTTTTTAATTTTATAAATTAACTCATTGAAATTGAAAGTACACTATCTTTTTGCTCCTAGCAAGACAATTTTACAAATATTTGCTGGTTATTCCCTATTAGATCAATTTAAAACATTTTTTTTTCTCACATATCATTATGTATTCCAAACTCAACTTTAATAATTGCTTCTGTTGTTGAGTTGTTTAAGTTGTAATCACACTCTTTCTATTTTGTAACGGATAGAAATTCATTTCCTAAATGAATCAATATGAATGGTGTCTCGTGAGATAAAGATAATCGATTAGAAAGTATGTTGTTCATTTATATTTGACATATCTTTAAGTAATGTTCATAAGAAAAAGTAAAGAACATTACTAATAGCTACTATATTGTAAAAGTAAGAATTTTAACTTTGCCTCGATGTCTGCTAATAAATAATCTCTATCTATTATCATTAATTCGAAAGAGCAGGTATGAAGATTGATAAAATCAATCATACAATTAAGAGTATTTATAATAAAGCGCCACATTTCCTTTTCTTTTTCAAAGAATATGAGCATTTGTTAATCTGAATAGTCTGTCATCTGAAGATCCCATCCATTTGATTAATTACATTGTCAAACATAAAGAAAGAAAAATGCACCTAAACAAAAAATTTTCAGAAGAATGATCTTCAGTGTCAAATAACTTTTTTTTCTTTTGCTTCAGATAAAAAAAAATTCATCGGTTTTTAATTGCCATCATCACAATGGAAAAAAAACAAGATCACAATATAACATAAAAGTCAAATGATGATTGTGATGGATGATGCCTGCATCAATTAAAAAACAAATTTGAAATTCACGGACGGAAAGAAATAAATGATTATAGATAATGTGGTGTACATATACAACAAACCATTTGGCATTTTTGATAGAATCGAGCACAAAAACTCGAACGTTCAATTGATGTTGTGGATGATGTTGTTGATAATTTCTGAGCTACTGGAGTTACTCCTAGTCTTTGAACATTTAATCCACCATCACCAGGAGGCAATTTTTCCGCTCCTGTCGTCGCCATCGTTGTCGTTCCTCCTGCTACATCATCTATTAATAAAAGAAAAAAAAAGAGAGGAAAGATATTACCATGGGAACAAATAAACAAAAGGAAAATAACCTAATGTTTGCCACCCTGGGATCTGATTAGAATAACGTTGATTAAGTAAATGTACATGTTCTTCTAAAATGGAGATATCTCTAAAAAAAAAAAAGATTTATTATTTATTTTAAAAAGAAAAAAAAACAATTAAATAATACTTTTTTATTTCGGCAATATCTTCATTATTTTGTGCATCTTGAGGATTTAATAATGATTGTCGTAGATCTATTGAAGATAGTGATTTAACAATAATATTTTCTAAAGTTGATGAACCAATTGAAGCGGATAGGGTTAAGGATGAGAATAAATATTGAGCTTTTACAAGTTGATTTCGACAATGTTCAATACAATAAGCAAGATGTTGAGGATTATATGTTAAATTAGTTGAACTTCCCTTAAAACCATTAGATGATCTAAATAATTATTAGTCGAATTGTTTTATATTACATTATACAAAATCAAATTTTACCTTCTTCCGGAGTCACTTGTTAATTTATAAATAAAATCTGTAATTTTAACAACTAATTGTAATCTTGCTTTACCAAATTCATCTCGTACAGAAGCAGCAGCAGTCATTGTTTCTAATATCCCGTTTAAACGGGCAAGGCCTTCATGGATTTCTCCTACTATCTATATATATTGAATATATATATATGATATACAAATAATCTATAATATTAGAAAATCTAACCTTATTCAAATCGTCTCTGGTTGCTTCTTGTACGTCGTGAACAGACGTTTTACGAGATGGTTGAGGATTAGACACTTTGGCGGGTAAAGTACGATTTTGTGAAGAATTTTCAATATTATTGCTTGTTGTTGTTTGAAGATGATATGTCTTTTGAATAAGTTCTAATGGTTTGTCTTGGTTTGCACCGTTCGATGTCATTATGAAAGTTAGTCATTGAGAATAAACAGATCTTAAAAAAGGAATTTGATGTTCATCAAATATATATAATCAAGAATTGTACTGTTTTCTATTGTTGTGAAGCCAATTAATGATGTGCATCACTTCGCTTCCATAGATAATAGTCGTTAATCATCAAAAAAATTTTCTTGTTGTTTTTTGCCGATAGCCCTCTTTAGATGATGAGAAGAAAAAAAGAAAAAAAAAATGTGAATCTCATTTTCTACTTCAGCCAATCCTTTTTAATGAACTAATGAAAATGACAAAAAAAAAAAAAGAAAAGAAGAGTCAAAGAAAGAGAGAAAAAACGGCTGTCTCAATTTTTACAATGCTTTCTGTGCTTCCGTTTATATCCTAGTTGACGATGTTTCTCCATAACTAATGAGAATAGCAAGCAAAGAAAAGTCTTCTGTTAGTGACAGTTTGCTTTCTTTTATCAAATTCTAAGGGGAAAAAAAATAATAAGAAGAAAATTTCATTTCTAACAACTGACACTTGGTATTATTTAGCATGTTTAACTAACAGAATATCTGTAAAAGATTGATATTGAAAGATTTGTATATTATTTCTAAGAAATAAATAACAAGATTAAATTAATATGTCTATACTGTAAGTGAATTGTAATTTAAGAAGAGGAAAAAGAAACCGACTTTCCTAGTTACTAAAACTTGCCGGATACTCGTCCAGTATGAATCAACACCTTTTTTTCTTCTTCTTCTTCTCCTTTTTTCTCTCTATTTTTTAACGTTGCTAAGAAAAAATGATGATGATGATGATGTTCTTGTTGTTGTCAACAAGTCTATTCTCCTATTCTCAATCGGAAAAGACACTCAATTTTGATGAAGCGGAAAAAATAAAACATATTAAATAATGGAAGGAAGAGAGACAAGTAGATTTTGTTTCAAAATAAAGGAAAAAAACAAGACACATATAATATATCATATAATTTACTTCTAGTATATCATTGTTTAATGAAATTTTATTTATGAAAAAAGTTTTTTAAAAAAATCTGAATGTCTATTTCCGCTAATAATTGGTTGATTATCATTGTCATTATCATCCGGTGATGTATCAATTTGATTTAATTCATCAATTGTTGAATTTCCATATTCACGAATTATTTTTCCATCTTGTTTTATAGATGTATGATGTTTATCTCCACATATTTTTGTAATTGTTTCAGTTTTAGTATTTTCATTTTGATTTGATGAATGTTGAATTTTTTTTTCAATAACACATTTTCCTGATGGTGTTGTTTCTCGTTGCATAGTTGTCATCATTGATGTACTTGAAAATGTTTTTGGAAATGCTCCATCAAAACCATGTTGTTCAATAGTTGAATCAAGATTTTCATCACCATAATGATCATCTTGTGAAGAAGAAAAACAAAACATGTTTTTTTTTCATAGAAAAATATGTTTTTACCTTGTTTAAGGACTTCATCTCTTAAATTTGTTGATGATTGAGAATTTTCATTATTAAACTCTTCTGTTGGGATTGAAAATACAAATGGTGTACCAGAAAAAAATCGATCAAAATCAGCAAAAATTTTTTCAATAGGAGAAAATAAACCATTGAAAGGAAAATCATCATCTTCATCATTATTATTATTATCATTCATTTTGAATTTATCTATAGGAAAAAAAAATCTAACGAGTATTTCTCTTTATACAACATTAAATTCTTTTTGTAATTCTATATTGCACTGATTTTGATCAATATTATGAGTTTTATATATCATTTCTAATGAATTAAAATTCTTTTAAAATTGAATTAACTTCAAAAAGTAACAATATACAATCGTAAATGTAAATGAATATATTAATTGCATTCATATATATATCGAACTTAGTATTCATATCTAGATTTCTATTGTCTATGCATATGTTTGATTTTGAGAGAGAGAGAGAGAAAAAAAAGGAAAAGTCTTGATTATTTTTCTGATGATTAAACAATTTTAGTTAATTTTGTTTGTAAAGAAAAAAAATGAAGAATGAACAACAACAACAACAATCGAATAATCTTCATGTAAAAAGAGAAAAAAATGTTCTAGTGATAAGTTAATCTTTAAAAATGATAAATATATCCATTAAAAGTTTATAATAGTGAAATAAAATAAAATAAAATGTTCGGCTTTATTTTTCTTTTTTTTAACGAAATTGACTCATTGAAATCCTAAGACCAAGAGATTCTTTTCCAATTTCAGTTGCTTTTGTTACACGACATAATTGTCCTTTATATTCCGGTAAATAAGCTGCACCGGATAATGGACATTTCACTACTGGATTTCCACTAAATAATAATAATTTCAAAGATTATTTATACGAAAAAAAACAAATCTTATTTTCCTACCGATAGATTGGTACATATGATGCAGCACAAATATCAAATGGATTATATTCATCATAATTCATTGGTTGTTCATCAATTGGATTTTTTTCACAAACACTTAATACTTTTCGAGTCTAAACAAAATAAACAACAATCATATTTTACAATCTTCGATGATAATAATGAATTATTCTATGTCAATTATATTCACTAGGTTTTAATCTTATAGGAGAAATAATTGAATGACTTAGGGAAGTTCGTCTATTAGCTATCGGATATAAAAAGAATTAAAGATAAGTATAGTGCAATAATCGAAAGATGTTGATAAATATATATTAATCGATTGAATAATTATTACAAAGAATCCATAAGAAAATTTTCTAATTAATATTGATTCTAAAAATACTTGAGAAAAACATCAGGTACTATCTCATTCAACAAAGTAATGAACAACTTAAAAAGCATTTTAATACTTTAATACTTTGTCTACGCTTACAATTTGTTTTTTTTTTTATTTTTGAAGTGGGGTTATTCAGTCTTACAATAGAATCTTTTCTAGATATTAAAAGATTGAAAAGAATAATTTGGCGAGAATATTAAACATTTTTCTATGTCTAGAAAACAAAAGTGCATAATGTAATCAAATCTATATTGTTTTGGATTCTTTTAATGTAAATAGATTTAAACGCAAAGGCTTCCTATCATTTATCAAAGGTTTCTCAGCACTTATAAAAGGCTTCTCAGAAATGAAAACTAGCATTAATAATACACACAGATTAACATATGATCCTTTAACGATATTATAAATAGTGCTACAAACACCTTTTAATGATTCATCGTGTTTCCTGTTAGAAAAAAGATTTGAAATAAAGACCTGTTGGGCAACTTCAGGTGTTGGTCCTAATTCCAATAAACGTTTAGCAAAACTTGATGCAGCTTTATAATTTTTTAATTTAAATGCTTGATTAAGTGCAGATTTTAATGTCATTATTTTGTGTATTGGTTGTAATTGTACATGAGTAAAATAAGCTGCTAATTCACATGAACGTTTTTTCATCATCTTTAGCTAAATCTTTTTTAGCCATAGACATTTGTAAACCAACAATATATTCTTTACATATTTCAATTAATTGTTGACTTTCAAGAATATCTTGACGTGATTCAACAACAAGTAATGGAACAGTTAATAATATTGAACGAAATATTAAAACAGCTTCTTGAAATTTACCATTTGTTGTTAAACGATATGCTGCTTGAAGACGTCCAACTAATTCTTCTAATTTTAATCCAACAGCTGGAAGGAATAATTTTGGTGAATGTGCATCGCGCCTTCAAAGAATAAAATAAAAATATTTTTCATAGAAAAGAAAATACAAACCAATTTCTTAATGGATATGCATATAGTGCGGGTAATGATGGTAATGCAGTATAAGCTGTACGTGAACGTGAATAAATTTGAAGAAATATTTGTTTATATTCTTCAAAACTAACAATTCCAACTTGATCATGTAATAAACGCATTGCTGTTTCAAATGAACCACTTAATACATGATCGACAGGTAATTTGGAATTTTGTGTCCACATTTGTGGAACTGATTGGCCTTTCGTGGGTGCTACGAAGAAACCACCCGTATCATCTTCGTCACCAGCTACATCCGGTACGTCCTATTATTATTATTTTTATAAAAAGAATCATGTTTTTCTTTTTATTACGATTATCGAAAATTTAAATAACTTACAAGATCAGCTGGTAATTCAAGTTCACTATCACCCCAACCTTCACCTGTTTCGTTTTCATCTTGATTTCCACGACCCTTTTCTTTAGTAAAATCATCATCATCAAGTTCCATTTGTGCATCATCATCAGCCCAATCTCCGCCAGTTGTTGCTGATTCTTCAATATTAACATTTGCACCAAATTTAGGTGCTGTAGTTGTAGATGAACCAGTTGTTGCTGCTGGTTGAGTTCCTTTTATAGCTGCACCTTCAAAAAATCCTTTAGATACAGCTAATAATGGCCAATTAGATTCTTGTTGACTTATTGGACATGGTGGTAAAATTAATTCAGCATTTGGATTTACTTCAGGAACCTAAGATAAATAAAGATTATTATTCTTCGTATGCCCATCTACTTCATTTAATCATGTGTTTAGAGTGTGGGTGACAGAAACGTTTTCTTTCAGAAATAAGGGAAGTCCAGGGACTTAAAAGTCATCAGGGTGTCTTTCTGATGAAGAATAATAGTTTACTTTATCATCAAGAGATTCTTTCAATTGTTCGGCTTGTTCATCAAGTCCATGTGTAGCTGCCATAACATATGCAAGTGATTCTATAGAAAATGTTGAATAATTTTTCTATTAACGAAGCAAAAAAATTTTTGTTTACTTTGATTGCATTGTCGAAGAAGTTTAACACGTTCATCAACATCACCTAATAACATAGCTATTTGAAATTGTCCACTAACATCTTTTCGTACTTCAGCTAAAAAATAATATTTGAAATAAAATTAACGAAAAAAAACAAAATATTTTTTCACAAACCGATCTTCATCATTTTTCTTAATTTTTCAAGATTTCCAGTAATTAAATAAAGAAAAGCTAATTTATCAAAATTTTTCGTTCGTTGATATGCCATTTCAACAATTTGATGATTTCCTTGTAATAAAGCAATATCAGCTAATTTTTCCCAACAACGTTTATCATCCAAAGCTCGAGCAGCTTCTAATGCAATCTAAACACAAAAACTAAAATTTATTTCGAAAAAAACTATTCAATTTACATCAATATTTCCACATTCAAGTGCTAAACCAAATCTTGTTTTTTCATCTTTTACAAAATGAAGTGCTACTTCTGGATAACCTTTCTTCTGTAGATAAGCAATAATACTTTGTCCAACTAATTTTGCTGTTCGAACCATATGAAGTACTTCATCATATTTTCGATTAATTAAAGCTAATTTAAATTTAAATTCCGTTGGATCAATATTTAATAATCGCGGTCGAACTTCTCTATCCAAACAGAATACACTATTTCCTTTGATTTTAGTTATATAAATAGGTAAATCAAGTGTACGAATAATTCCATGATCACCATTAATAAGTGCATATTTAATATGATTTGATGTTGTATAAATAAAAACACCTGAATCATCCCATGCACCTGATTTAACTGATATATTTTCTTGAATAATACATAATTGTTCAAGTTTTCGATTACAAATAACAAGTTGATGTTTTGATAATAATGATAAATAATTCATATCATTTGACCATATTGCATATTTGGCTTTACCAACTCTTACACTTGCTAATGAACGTTTTTGTTGAGCATCATATAAACTAATATGATCATTTTCACGAATTAATATAAGACCAGTACCAGCATAAAATATTTCATCACAATTAGCTAATTGAATTTTTTTTGTTATTTCATTTTTATTATTTTTTATTAAAATCTGAATTATTTTAATGCAAAAGAAAATATATTTAGTTCAAAGAAATATCTCCAACTTACGACATGATTTTTATCGAGTACAGCAAATCGATTTCGAGCAACCCATACAGCATTTAAACCCGATGAACGACGACCTTCTGGAGCTAAAATAACATATAAACTATTATAACATTTTCTAAATATCACCGAGATCAAATTTCATCTTAATCTTTAGTGAACTTTTCAATCAGAAGAAAGTGAACAATTCAAAAATGAAATTAATTACCATCTGGAGTTTGAGCGGCAGTAGCTGATTCTCCAGCATCTTTTGGAATAGTATAAAGATCATAAATAGAAGTATCAGGTTGTGATGGTCCACGTGCACCATATTATTCAATGTCATATAATCCAGCTGAAA